CCCCCCCCACACACACACACACGCCAACTTTCACTCCTCCCCACACACTCACATATTAACACACGCACACTCTCTCACACACACACACATACACACACACACATAATTACAGATGCGCGCATGCACACACTCTCACCCCTACCCACCACCCACCCACCCACTTTACTTCACATTTACTTTTCCGATCCAGCAGCCATCTGGGTTGTAGCCCTTCGGTCTGTTGATATGGCAAAGAATTTACTGGTTTTTATCAGCTGTGTTTTGTCACTGTATGAAGTATTTCCGATGTCTGGAGAGGCGGGTGCTCTGGTGTGGTTTGCTTCTTCTTTCCTATCAAGCATTTATCGTCCTTATCTCTCTTACTCCTTTTTTTGTGTTTGTTACTCTCTTGTAACACCTCTGATCTTCGGCACTTATACGACTTTACTGTGTTGCGAGCGCCGTAAAACCTCTACTAAAACTAAAAGGTAGGTAGGTAGGTGCTACGCAGGTCGCTAAGTGCAGGGCAGGTAAAGAGATGGTGTAGTACTGTTTCATCCTCCCACATGTTTCACAGTATGATTTGTACCTGTCTTTCCCAGGTAACCTGTGCGACATCTGTCTGGATGGTTACTACGGCGACCCCACCGGTCTGCTGACCGGGGTACCCAGCAGGTGTCAGAAATGTACCTGTAACGGGAACATTGACCCCAACGCTGTGGGCAACTGTAACACGTAGGTCTCTTTGTGTGTACTTTGTGTGTGTGTGTTTATTTTGTGTGTGTGAGTGTGTGTGTGTGTTTTAACAGGAACATTGATCCCAACGCTGTGGGCAACTGTAACTCGTACGTCTCTTTGTCTGTACTTTTTTAAAAACATATTTGATGCCTTTAATCAACGTTTTTCAGTAAAATCCACACCAAAATGTGTTCTTTAATAGGAATGAAAGGTGTTGACTATGACCAAAAAACAAAAAGTCTCTAAAAATTCCCAAACCTGCAGAAAAATGCCAGTTTCTTCACTTTGATTATTTTGACAAGCGCCTGATTTCACCACGCTGCCTCACATATATGTCTTTTTCTCCCTCCATCAGCACCACCGGAGAATGTCTGAAGTGTATCCGGAATACGGGCGGGTTTTTCTGCGACCAGTGCCTGCCCGACTTCTACAACAACACGCTGGGTCAGTGCACGGCGTGTAACTGCTATCCGCCCGGCACGGTCAGTCAGCCGGGGACGCGCGGCTGTGACGTGCGCAGCGGCCAGTGTCTGTGTCTGGACAACGTGGTGGGCCGACAGTGTGAGCGCTGTGAGCTGGGCTACTGGGACATTGTCAGTGGACAGGGTGAGTACAGTTTGTATATATATATATATA